CAGAAAACACTTGGGGAAAAAACGGACAAATGATCTCTCACTTTCAAGAATATCATCAGGATTATAAAGTCAGCTGTTTTATTTACAGGACATAAGCTACAAGCAGTCACAGATTTATCCAGAAAAGCCTCAAACAGGTTTTGCCTTTGGTCTGAGCTGAAATTAACATTTTGTCCAAGGCCTTGGTCAAATTCTCCCCAAATACCTACAACTAATCTTTTTCTACAGGTTTTTAAAATAACGGTCCCGCTCTGTATACACTTTTTTGTCCTCATTTTTATTCTAGATTTCCAAAACTCTTCACGGGGTGAAAGGACAGCCAACTTTCCTACAGCCAACATAGCAATACTGCCCTCTTGAGTTAATTGCAGTGTAAAAACAGCCATGTTTGAATAGGGCGCTCTGATTCCAATCATTACGGTATTCAGCTGGAAGTCATATCTGAAGCACTGGTCATAACTTGCTTTTAATCTTTATATTTTTTAAAAAATTGTTTTTTGTCACATGAGAATTATCCTGTGTCTCCAAGTCAGAGAAATGGAGAAGGACAAATATTGCAGCTTGCTAAGACAGAGCGTAAAAGGGACACGGTGGCTCAGTGCCTAAAATGCTGAGCTTGTTGATCAGAAAGGTCGGCAGTTTGGCGGTTCAAATCCAAATCCCTAGTGCCGTGTAACAGAGTGAGCTCCTATTACTTGTCCCAGCCAACCTAGTAATTGGAAAACATATAAAAATGCAAGTAGAAAAATAGAGACCACTTTGATGGGAAGGTAACAGCGTTCCGTGTGCCTTTGGTGTTTAGTCATGCCAGCCACATGACCACAGAGACGTCTTCAGACAGCGCTGGCTCTTTAGCTTTGTAAAGGAGATGAGCACCGCCCCCTAGAGCCGGAAACGGCTAGCATGTATGTGCAAGAGGAACCTTTACCTTTTGAGAGAACTTCCATGTAAAGTACCCAGACTATCTTCTAGTATAAAAATAGCAATAGCACTTAGCACTTATATACTGCTTCACAATGCTTTTACAGCCCTCTCTAAGCAGTTTACAGAGTCAGCGTATTGCCCCCAACAAACTGAGTCATTTTACCGACCTTGGAAGGATGGAAGGCCGAGACAAAAATGATCCCTTCATATGCACTTGGGGGGTGGTTTCCAACCAAAACATTAAGCTAAGAGAATGATGTTGGGCTATAAAAATAAAGTCACACAATCAGAATACAAAAGGTTTGGAACTTGGAAGCAACTTGAATTCATTAGAAATCTGCACCTACAGCATTCCCAACAAATGGCCATCCAGTTTAAATAATATCTTCCCGCGAAAGATATTATTTAGAGTCTGCCAGCTTCCATAGGACTGACTCTCTTGTAGTGCTTCTATCATTAGGAATTTTTTCCTCATGACTTACCCCCAAAACAACTTTTAACTACTCAGCCCTACATTTGGCATGACAACCTTCCTGTCCGCCTACACTCTTTCCCAGTTAAACATACTCATCCAACCTTCTTTCATAGCTTATTCTTTCCAGGTCCCTTCACCAGACTGCTGTCCTCCAACATGCTCCAATGTGTTAGCGTTCTCCCTCAAATGCAGGTCCTAAAGAGGATCCAGTGTTCTAGATGTCCTAACTAATGCAGAACAGAGTAGAACAATGACTTCTCTTGACCCGGTTTCTGTTGACGCAGCCTAGGATTGCTTTTTGCAATTTTTTTCTGGAGTTGTATCGTACTCTAGCTTTTGATCCACAAGGATACCACTTCCTCGGCTTCATCTCAACCCTACCCCCCCCCCCCCCCACCACCGTAGCATTCAATTTATGGCTATCTAGATGGTTCTAAACACATTTTCCCACTTCCTGTAAGATACAGCTCATCTATTGCCAGAATCTCAGAAGAATCTCTCACATATAAAATAATCCAAAACTTTAGAATGGCACCTACTGTATGGCCAGCTGTCTATTTTTAATATTGTTCTCTCTATTCCCAAGTTGACGTTATGGAATAAAGAAAACATCACTTGGGCTTCCAGGCCCTTCAGCCTCCTGCCCAGCACTTCATAAACCTTTCATATATGTTGCCACATGGATCAGGAGAAAGAAATAATGGGCAATGGGCACAGAGGATGTGCCCCAATGTAAGATGAAATCAAGAGAAATTAATGGAATTTTCCATGGCACAGCATAACATGGCATCTCGAATTGTAGACAGAATTTGATGTTGAATTGTATACAAATGATAAATGTACAATTGCCAAAATATATAAAAACTCTTGCTGAAATTTAAAATGGAGGATGAACAAGTGAAAGAGCGAATGATAAAATGGGGTAAGCATTTTGGTCCTAACATATTGTCGGAACAGCAGGAAAACATGTGGTTGAAAGGATTGAAATTCACATTATTTTAATCCACAAGGTAATTTTTACAAAATACATTACAAAATATCATATGCTGTTGGTATACGAGTGCAGAAAAATTATCTAGAATGTAGCTCAAAATTGAAAACATGGACAACATTGAGGGTTATTTTATCATCTTTGGCGAACTTGTAAAAAAGCCAGAATATTTTGGGTTCTATTACATTTATTGATTACAAACACTTTTAAAGGCAGATTTAACTAAAACCATAATTTTGTTTTGTTGGGCTTAATGCAGAGACAAGTAGAAAAAAACCTATGGAAGATTATTTTTATATATGATCACTGTTGCAAGACAACTATATATATGCAAATAATTGAGATTCTGAAACACACAGAATGAAGAAATAGTTTGTGACGTAAGTAGAGGGATGGCAAAATTGTTTACTTAGAACAAGATGATTTATTATATGTCTCTGGAAACCCTTACGGGCTTTTTGCTGAAAAAAGGAAATAAACTGATTATATATGGATTTGATGTTTAGAAAGAAAACCCTGATGTGAGAATAAAATACTTATAACTGTTAATGAAGATTGGAAACCTCTTATTATTTTTCTTCTTCTTCTAATCTATTTCCTTTTCACTTTGTTTCTATCTCCTACCTTTAACTTAAAATTTGTATTATTTATACTCTGTGGAAAAATTATACAGGTAGTACCCAACTTATGACCACAATTGGGCCCACAATTACTGTTGCAAAGCAAGGCAGTTGTTCAGTGAGTTTTGCCCCGTTTTATGACTTTTCTTGCCAGTTGGTTAAATGAATCACTGCAGTTAAGTTAGTAACACGGTTTTTAGGTGAATCTGGCTTCCCTACTGACTTTGCTTGTCAGAAGTTAGCAAACGGTGATCGCATACATGCCATCTGCCAAGCATCTGGATTTTGGTCACGTATCCACAGGGATGCCGCAATGGTTGTGTGAAAAAAGGTCACCTCACTTTTTTCAATGCCATTGTAACTTCGAATGGTCATTAAATGAGTTGTTATAAAGTCAAGGACTACCTACCTATATAGCGAGTAGGTCTCCCAGAAAATAGGATACTTGGCAGATTATTTTGTCAACGAATTGTTGCTTCTGTGCCTTGAAGTAGGTCTCCAATCACTTATTGCCTCACTTCCCCCTCTTAGGGACGGGGGAAGAAAGCTTTTCCCTTTCCAGAGTGTGTGGACTCCTCTTCCTCACTTTTGTAGCAACTGCTCTTCAATCAGGGCTCCATCTGAATCTCAATTCTAATTCAAATTATTGTTACGGACTCAGCCAGCAATGGATAATAATCAAATCAGCAACACAAAAAAAAAGGAATGGCTTTAAAAAGAAAATATTTTAAGAGATTGGAAAACATAATCCGAAAAAGAGCAGAGGTGAGTGAGGGCTTCCAAGAATAAGAATTGGTACATTTAGAAGAAAATCCACACCCAAATAGAGTTATGGGGCCAGTTTGGTGTAATGATTAAGGCATCAGGCTAGAAACCAGGAATTCATGATTTCTAATTTCCAGTCCCATCTTAGGCACAAAGCTTTGCCAATAGAAGAGAATAAACATGGCTCAGAATTGAACTGTGGAGTCCTTGGTGCGCTACGAGCTTGGTTGTTTGCTTACAAACATTTCATCACCCAGCTAGGTAACACCATCAATGCTGTTAGCGTGAGATTTGCTTCCTGTATATATGCAGTATTTACTCCGCCAGCATTGGAGGGGAAATGGCTTTCTCTTTGGTAGTTCTCAATTAGGGTATTGTTTTCCACTTAACAATTCTGTATGATTAACAATCAAACAGAAAACAAAGAAGCAGAATGAGTAACAATCAAGCAGAAAACAAATCATATGGGTTTATTTATATTCATATTGTTTCCTTTTATCAAATACACAGAACTTGATTGCTGACCTAAGATATACCAGTAAAAACACTTAGGGATGTATTTTGACCACATTCCTTTGTTATATTTTTCTTACACTGTATAAATTTCTTACCCATGAAATTCTTTCACTTTTGTAATTGTATTCGTAAGATAATGTTGCTTCAGTATCTCATTTATTTTCAGCGATGACTCTGAGCCTCATGTGGATCCTAAAAGTATCCTTACAAAATTAAGGTAGAGGATACTGCAGTTCAGCACTGTATCTAAATGTTTAAGAACACTATTAGATGTTTAATACTTGGCTGTCAGTGTCCACATTAGTAAAAAATGAACCCAGCCATATAAAATAACCAGAAACATGAAGCAATACGAAACCACATTTTTTTAGTGAGTTATAGCAAAATACTAGGGCAAAGTAGAAAAGACATACACAAGCCATATGGCCAGCCAGATTAAATACAAACTCTGTAGATACTTGTTTATTCCTTTCATTTAAAAAATGTAATCAGTATACAAAGGAGGCAAACTATTTTAATCTTTGTACAAAAATAGCACTTTTTAAAAGTGTTTCAGACATCATTACATAGGTAATTGGATTTTTTTTTAAAAAAAGCATATACATTATTACAAGATAAAACAAACAGTCTTTTACATAGAATAGACAAAATTATTTTATTGCCAGTGTTACAGGTTGGCTTAAGTGACTGCAGAGCTGTGCTATAAGCACCAGAAAAAACAAAAGTAATAATTAAAAAAAAATGCATCCACCTTAGATCACTTCTCACTTCCCCACTTCCTGGGAACAAATATAAAGGCAACCATGGAAGGGAATTACTATCTGTTGGAGATGATGTAAAAGCACATGCACTGTTTAATGGAATCTGAGCCGAAATTCTCTCCTGCCCAACCATCACCACAGAATATGTGAAAAGCAAGTGCTCATCCTTTTGCCAGTGGATTAGGAAAATTAAATTAATTACTGGACGCCTGTGGACCATTTAAACTGGATTGTGACAAGATTTTAATATAGAAAAGTCTGGCTCAAGGCACAAAATGCTACAGAGATCTCTTAAGGCTGATGGCATTGGCTTAACTATATACAATTCTTGTTTATAAAAGGAAAGGCACATTTTATTCCAAAACAGCATTGCAAGTAATTTGAAGATAATATAAAAATTAAACAGATTTTACCATCTGGAAGGAGGAGGTTCCTTTTATGTACACATTTTATATTAAGGCCAGTTTGTATTAACAGCGGCTCAGTAAAGCTTTTCCAAGACTCAGCTTGCAACTACATGTTTAAACGATCCTCAATTAATAATATTCTTAGAACTGAGACACATTCACACATGCAGCATGCGTCCAATTAATGGCTTACCCTGCCCTCTCTCATTGGACAGTCATTTTCAAAATTTATGAAGCCCTTCCATCTGGGATGGGAAAGTATTCAATAAGACAACAAACCTCACCCTAAAGAAATAGCCTCCAGAAAGGGATGCTCCTTTAAAAAAAAAAAACCAAACACAACTCAAGTCTACCAATAGTGCTGATCATACAAATAACTAAGCTTTGTTCTGAGCATACATACACACAGAAAAGGATGTTATTTTAGTTTGTGTGTGTGTGTGTGTGTGTCCTTTGTAAGCAGAGGCCATCTTTTGGAAGCAACAGACATTCTCAGCCCAGCAGTTAACCAAGGATCACGCTATCATTCTGACTGGGTCACAAGAACAGTCACTGCAAACAACGTTATAAAACAAAACTGAACAATGGAAAAATGGCGGCCCCAAATGGGGATGCCACTGCCGCTTAAAAGTGTGGACAACACTTTAAAAAAAAAAAAAGAAAGGGGGGGGGAGAAACAGAAGGTAGGCCTGATCCTTCTGCACCAAAGATATTCCTACACGGCTGCCCATGTGGAGAGATCAAATTTCTCCAAGGGCACCACTTCAAAGAGCACACCTCTCTTACGCATTCAAGCAGACATAGTAAACAGTTGTGGTTACATTAAGACTTTAAAGATCTGAGTCCTTGTCTGCTGAGCTAAAACCAAATAATGCAACAAACCTCTTTTACGACAGAAGGAAAAAACTAAGTGATGCTACAAGTAGTGGTGCCGATTCATGTCTCAGGACATTTAAAAACAACTAATCAGGAGTTTAAATGAAATGCAAAATTACAAATTTAATACAGTGCTATTGAAAGTGTCACAGGCTTACCAAAAAGGCAACCGAGGTGGTCTCAAGCCAATGATAATTTCCATTTCCACTTTTGATTTTGACTTCTTTTTTTTTTTTTTTGAGTCCCAGGAAAGGCACTTACTACATGTTCTTCTGTCAATTTTTCTGTAACTGCTATTATGTTCAGTGATAGTACATATAAGAGCCTATTTCAGACAATATTATTTACATATGAAATTAAAAAAAAAAATGACCTGAGTTGAATATTTCTCTGCTTGGTTTTGAAAACCAAAACAGCATTTTTAGATCAGGGTGGTGGCGGGAAGAGGGATACATACGTAAGGAATTCAATACTACTATGCAATAGATAATCTTTGTAAAGATCACTTTCCGCAATACTCTGCTAAATATTTGGCATATACCATGCATACGTTTGCTTTGGACATTGCAGAAAATACGTTCAATTCTAGCAGAAACACAGAAAAAGCGTATGACAAAAAAAAAAAAAAAAAAAAAGGCACAATAGTAATTGTCACCGGGTGCTGCAATGAGATATTGTTTACACTCCTTAGGAGAAACAAATACTGCCATCTACCAAGGGACCTCAAATTCTGTATTATTCCCCAGACAGAATTCTTCCATGCACCCAGTTCATTTTTAAGATTTAGATTGTTACAAATAAAAATGCTCACCCTCTCTCCTTATTTCTGCCCTTCGAAAGTAAAGAGATTTATAATAGCATCTTCCCTTCCCTTAAGGGTTCACGCTTCACAGATTTATTGGATTTCTATCACTAACCGGGAACCCTCCTTCTGGCTTCCTGACTTGCAGCAATAGCTGTAAACTAAACATTGCTCTTTAGAAAACAAACAGGAGGAGCCGAGAAGAGAGAGACTCATAAATCTGTGACGGGCAACCTGAGACACCAGACTCAGAAAGTCTGTTAAGACCAAAAAAAAAAAAAATCATTTACAGATGAAAGATGGATCCCTTCTACAAGTCACACTGAACTGAGTGAGAAAGCCATGTTCAAAATAACAAAAACTATCCAGTGCATTTTTAAAAAAGGATGCTGTTTCCTCAGCTGCGAAAATGTGTAAATGTGAGTAGATAGGCTTTTATACAGACCAGTGTAGCACTTGAGAAAATGCTAGTGGTAATTTTCTGTAGCAGAAGAAAAATGATTAGGTCATAGCAGCATTCCATTAACACCACATCTGCTAGGAAAACAGATACTTGATAATGGATGCTATTAACAAGCACGATCTGGCATTATAGGGAAGTTTAAAGGGGAAAAGAAACAACGATTCTTTCAGAAAGTGGGAACTATCTATCCTGCAATCCGACATATTGTGTATATAATAAATTTGTGGGTGTTTTGGGTGTGTAAACAAAAAAGGTCATGAGATCTGGAGCATTTTTACTCCCCCCCCAAAAAAAAACATGTTTCTCCTTTCCCAGATTTGAAAATTGGATGACAACTTGGGCATTGTAGGTATCATACTGTTCCCCCCACCCCCCCAAAAAAGAAATAACTGCTAAGACAATCTTGAAGCAAGGAGTTTAAAATAGCAGGAATAAGCCAGCAGCCTGAGTTATGGGGCAATTTATTTATTGCTGCATACTACATGGGACTAAATTTATCTAGACCAGGGCTCTTCAAACTTGACAGCTTTAAGACTTGTGGACTTCAATTCCCAGAATTCCTCCTCCAGTCACGTTAGCTCAGGAATTCTGGGAGTTGAAGTCCACAAGTCTTAAACTTGCCACGGTTGGAGACTCCTGATCTAGAATATCAAGCTCCCTTCGCTGTGGCAAATAATGCCTTTATCCAATTATTTCAGTAATGGTATTACAGTACTTGAAGACTCTGGAACATCCAACTCCAAGACCCTAAAATATTATCTTGCTTTTGAGTTGCACTGTGTTAGAAATACAATCTGCTTTACCTCTAATCTAACAGCAGTATAAGATCACAAATCCCTACTTTCTGGACAAGGAAACTCTTTCTTAATAAAATGCTTGAGTTACATACTTACTCAGTCCTCCTGGTTGTACATTCCTTTATATTTGTTGTAGGTTTCTTATGTTTGCTGTATGTTTCTTACATTACTCGTATAAGTCTGCCCTTTACAACCCAATCCATCAAAATGAATAAAGAAATCATAGAGAAAAAGGGAAAAGGCTAAGCAAGGAGTGATCATTTCATCTCAGCCAATACAAATTGAGCAAAAGCAATTCACCGGTGCAAATAATTCACAACCACTATAGAAGTCAACGATTTACACCATGGCTTTTTTTGTTTTTGATATGCTTTACGATGCTTATGCTTTTTGGTCTTGTTTCCATCCTCTCTCAGCTCAACCAGCAGCATTTGTGAAACAAGAATACTCTTGTTAAAAACTCACACAAGATCATGAAAGCGTTATCCAACTCCAGGTAAGGGACTCCAAGGATCTGCAGATGCAAGCACCTGGACAATTTTGGGGACTGTTAATCTTAACTCGAATGTTGTCCTGAGGAAGGAAAAATGATGACCTTTTCTCCCTGTCCCTGATGAAAATGATGTTGTAATTCAGCTCTGCTAAACCACTGCAACATGCATACATACATATATAGATATAGATATATAAATCATATGATTCTGGTACACGGCTCCAGATGGAGGCAAGAGGAGGAGGAGGAGGGTCAACACAATAAAAGGAAAACAGAACAGGACATGGCAAGAGGGGCATCAAAACGTTACCAACACAACACTTTATAACAAAGGCAGAGGAAAAACAACAATAAACTGGCTTTTAAGCTACTGAGGAGTGAAGCGATGAGAAAAGTTCAGAGCAAAGCAACGGAAATAATGGCCAGCTATATAATACCCCAGCAACAATTCATGGACCCTTCGTGAACTTTCTGGGGCATAGAAATTCACCATGCACATGACCAGCACTGAAGTATGCAAGAGGCAGGAGCTTCATGAAGGCTATGTAACAATTAAAAATTTCCCTCAATACTTAATAAAACAAAATCTGTCATGCTATCTGCGGAGCTGCTTGTTTTAAGTAGCAGAGGGAAAAGGACATAGGACTGATCAACCTGGTAAGGTACTGAACAATTTGTCTAAGTGGTTCACACTAAACAGAAGAGATTTTAGGAACAAATCCTGAACTGTCTGAAGACTTCCTGGGGTGGAGGTGAGTGTCATAAGGCCCCACTCCTTAACAGAGATTCCACAACTACTCTCAAGCATCACTTTTTCTAATCTCCTAAGCACTGGCTTTCTTCACTTATTTCTTTGGTATCTGAACTTCCACTTTAGTTCCCTTTGTTGCAATTTCCTTATAATTGTTCTCATAAGGGTGTATGTAACCTTGGAAAGGGAGCAAGCTGGCCAGCATGCACTAAATTGCTAAAAAGAAGTTACAAATAGGAGATACAAAAGCCAATTCATAGTTTATTCTCAATGGAGTGCCCAGCACCTGAGCCAAATATTGGATCATTTGTCAATTTGGAAAGACCTTGGCAAGTCCCTTAGTGTTTCACAGCAATGCAGTATCTCAAGCTAAAAGAACCCAGACTTCTTCTTTTTCCCTTTAACGACATGGCCATAACATTTGTCAAGATCTTAAACAAATCACAACAGAGTCCAATACTATAGTTTCAACTTGCACTGTAGTAAAATGGCTTGAGTTGAGCCAAAACACATATGGAGACCTCTCCAGCACTCCTGGTGTTCAGATCCCCTGGATTGTATGCATGCACAAATATTTTTAAACAAAGAGGATTCACCGCTTTACACTGGGAACTGGAAAGAATCCCCCTTAGGCTAAAAGTTGAATTCATGCATTTGAAACGCAAGGAACGTAAATTGTGTGTCACGTTTTCATCTTTCCTAAGGCTCATTTTCCCTTGCAAGTTCAGAACACACAGTGGGTCATGGACCCTACCACTTTGGGTAGAAAAAAAGGCGACAGGGACTTAAATAGACACTCCTTTCTCCAAATAGAGAAAAGTGGAAATTATCAGGAAGTAACTTTTTTTTGTGAATGAGAGTCTAATCAAGTAAGGAACAGAACATGGGGGAAGGCGGGGGGGGGGGGAGACAAAGGTTAAGCATAAGAAAAGCTAAATTTATATTTTTATAGTTACAATTAAAATGCAATATAGCATCTGAACATAAGCCTGAGCGCCGTTTAACAGCTCAATAAGTTCCAAGTTAAGGCATCTGAACTACAACCAAAGACTTTGGTTGCAGCACTTTTTAATCTCTTTCATCCAAAAGAACATATTTTATAATTTTATATAATTACAATAATAACAATAATAATATAGATTTTTTTTTCTGCTAAAAAGTATTTCAATGATCATATACATTTAGAACCAAGGCATGATGGCATGGGGGTACCTAATAAAGGTGAAGAGACCTAATGGGGGAGGGGAAGAAAAAGCAAAATAAACATGAATGAATCAGTTCTGGGCCATTCCCATTTCCCAAGTATTCACTCTAGGCATCACCAGGCTGACCTATACAGCAAGCAGACCTTATTCTGCACACAATATTCCTGGGAGACAGAAATAGTATCTGAAAGCTATATGGGGCAGCGGAGTCCCCATCTTCCGTCACACTTGTGTCGTGAAAGGCATCTCTTGGATCTTGAGACGCTCACGTTTGTACAAGATCAGACAGATCCTCAGAATCCATTGCCACTGATGTTGATCGACTGGAGATCGGCCACTTGCATGACATTGATGCCACTGCTTGCAAGGCGTGCAATGCCTTCTGGGCAGATGGCTTCCATGGCCACCATATTGGTTGCGATGAGGGCTGAAGGGGTTGCCCCACCGGTGCTCTCGGTAGAAGCATTCGCATCAATGGCGACCGCAGAGACGTCCATAGCCACGCTGTTGGGAGCGCCTGCCTTCTTGTTTTGGTGGGTCTTGATGTGCTTGGAAAGATGGTCGCTCCTCATGAAGCGCTTGGGACACTCGGGGCAGGCAAATTTTTTCTCTCCTGAAGGAAGAAAACGTTCATGAAGCCTTTCACTCATTTCATGCTTAAAACATAGTCCAACCTCTTCCCATCAGCAACTGTGTCTTGTTTTTAGACAAAAAGTGTATCAAGCCAGCCAAAGTTGGCTATCATTCACCTCCAGTTTAGGTTACCGAAATGTGGCATATGCAGGACCCTAACTTAGCAGAAAATACCTACAAAGGGTAAACTCAATGACACCGATTTTAGCTCTATTTCTTTCTCAGAGGTGTACAAACTTTATTATTTTATACAGCCTTATTTATATCAAGAGAAGCGTTTATCTACATAAGCCCTTTTTAAAGATCTTTAGGGTAATCTACATAGAATAATAATAATGCCTAATGTGGGAGCCTATTTTATTGTGCTTTCTTTTTGTAGAGTAGACTTCCTCAGTCATCAGTCTTATGCTGTGACATACCAGTCATATCCCTACAATCACTTGCTTTTCCCCATTCTATGAAGGTATTTCAGCTTTGTTACCGTCAACAAATATTAGACATCCAAATAAGTTTTTACAAAGTAGGCCTCTAAAAATGAGACATTTTAAATGCCATGTCTTTGCATAGTTTTATTTTATTTATTTAGTCATTAAATTTATATGTTGCCCATCTCACACTGCAAAATGACTCTGAGTGGCTTATAATAAAAGTCATCAATATTATAATATAAACAATAGTATATACAAAATTAAAAACCAATTCTTAAATTTCATTTTGAAAAAGGTCCAGTTTTATTACTGATTACTGATTATGTTGGGCATTATTTACCCATTCATATGGCTCTTTATGCCCTGATCCTCATTTTTCAATTCAAGGCTCATTTACAAGCCCTTAAAGCAAAAAGCAAATTAAGTAATATTTCTGTTTTGTAATCACACATATATGTTTGCCAGCTGTGTTTTTTTGTTTACTTTCTATTTAACACTTTTAAATTCGCTGTTTATATTCATTTACAATTACAGTTGAATTGTTTTGAGTAACGCAGATACATTCCGGAAACATTATTTTCAAAGCACTTTCTGTCTCCACATCCCCCCTGCATTTTTACAGCAATATTATTTCATTTTTAAAACTTCGAAGGCAAGGAGGTCTTTGTTCCAAAACACCACTGCAATTTTTTAAAGCAGCAATGCTGCTTATAATAGCTGTAACTGTAGACAAGCCTTGATGTTGTACCCACGAAAAACTTTACGAAGTGCTTGGGAGCACTTTTACATGCGGTAAACCAGGCAGGGATGTGTCACAAGCTTTACTTAAATCTCCAAATTAGTTCTGAATGACTTAAGATGTCACTCGACTTATGTAGCCGCGTTAACAAAGAAGACCCCAATACAAAACTCTTTCGAAACCTCTTCTTCACCTCAAGCTACACACAGCACTTGTTGCTCAGGCCCAGGAATTCCTTGCACTTACCAGTGTGTGTTCGCTTGTGTCGTTGTAGCTCATCACTGCGTGTGAAACGCTTGCCACAATACGTCCATGAGCAAACAAATGGCCGTTCACCAGTATGCCATCGAAGGTGAGCTCGCAGATGAGATGTCTTCCCATACACTTTCCCACAGCCTGGGATGTGGCAGATGTGCTGCTTCTTTTTGCCAGGGTCCCCGGAGCCTCTGAAAACGGTGATGTATGTTAAGAATTAATCAGATGAACTGGCTGGTTTACCATTTGTTTTGCCCCCGTGGCAAAAAAATAGAAAAACTACTGTCGCATAGAATTATCCATCATCTTCCTGAGTGGTTGCCATGAATACTAGAATTGAAGTCACAGTCTTCCACTAAAATCTAGTACTAATCACAAACTCTCCAATAATATAATGGGGGTAAACTGGGTGGAGGTTACTTTTTAATTAAGTGACCAAAACCACCCCAAATTTTCCCAAGTCTTTTGCACAAGGAAGACACTTTGTCAAGACACACTGGACAATCTTTAAATCACATATTATTGTCTCCGCATTGTTTGTTCTCCCATACTTTGAAAACTTCTATGCACTGCATATCCCAATAGCAGCTATTTGCACCTGCTAAATACTGAACCAATTGTTACAAGTCTCTAGATGTAATCTTTTCCCACAATCTATACAACACAGGAATTATTTAATGTTACGTGTTTATGGATCTTATATGGATAGTCCTCGACTTACGAGCATAATTGAGCCCAAAATTTCTGTTGCTAAAATTCACATTTATTGAAGCGAATTTTGTCACATTTTACAACCTTTCTTGCAACAGTTGTTAAGTGAATCGCTGCACTTGTTAAATCAGTAACATGCCTGTTAAGTGAATTTGGCTTCATTGACTTTGCTCATGAGAGGATTGCAAAAGCTGATCACATGACCCCCTAGGCACCACAACAGTTCTTCCAAGTGTGAAAAATGGTCACTTTTTCAATGAAGTTGTAATTTTGAATGGTCACTAAACGAACTGTTGTAAGTCAAGGACTATCTGTATGTTGTAAACCACTTTGAGGCTACCATAATCAGCTGTCTATTAACACTACAAGCAAGCAAATAGTGCCACTTTGTCAAAAAATGTATTTTTGTGAATCTTTTTTCCTTGCAGGTCAATAGACACAAGAGAGCTGAACTCCATACATGTTAAGGTTTTTGACTTAAAAGTTTGTGTCCCCAACAGAACATGCTTCCCCAACTGGAAATTCTACTTCTAAAGCACTAAACCAGGGGTATCAAACTCGATTTCATTGAGGGCCACATCAGGGTTGTGTTTGACTTTTGGCGGGCCAGGCTTGACGTCACTTGTATCGGGGAGCGTCTGTGGTGGCCCGAGCACTCTGTCAGTGAAAACAGGCTCATGAGCTCTGTTTTTGGCTGTGATGGTCTCCTGCTGCCCTCTGCCAGCGAAAATAGAGCTCGGGGGGGGGGGGGGGGTGCTACTCGTGCGCCCTTGGGCTCCTTTTTCAGTCATGATGATCTCCTGCTGGCCTCTGGCAGTGATAATGGAGCTGGGGGGGGGGAGAGGCACCGCAGGTCGGTCCTTTGCCGTTTCCAGGGTGACTCTGCAGGGCAGATCTAAGGCCTCTGCAGGCTGGATTTGGCCCGTGGGCCTTGAGTTTAAACCCCTGCAAGAGTCTATGATAATCCCTTCCTATATTTATTGAACTTTGCACCAGAATCCACTCAAAATTTACCGCCAGTTTTCCTTGCATAAGCTTACCTGCCATCGTTGTCTTTGCAGTAAGGGCAGGTGCAGGCTTCTCTGCGCATTCTTCGGACTTGCTGTGGCTGGGCATCTGGACTAGCTTCCCCTTCTTCCAGAGTGGTTCCATCATCAGCCAGCCCATCACCAGCAGTACTATGGAGGCTAAGGTGGGTATTATGATCACCTGTAGAAGAAACTGGCATTTTTACTATCTCAAAAGCCAAAAGATCATCTTTCACCAAATCAGTGATATTTAAGAGCATATATAATTTCACTACCTGAAAGCCAAAATAAAGAATGAATATATCAAAACATAAGAACATGTATATATCAACTATATTATCATTTGTACAGAAGTTGTTCTAAATGTTATTCCTAATTTTCCTTTCACTTCCTTTCTGACTTTTTCCTAGTTTATTTTACATTTTAACTGTTAAAAGAATGTCTTAGAATCCTCTGTATGACACGTTTACAAGCAGATAAAAGTAAAGAGCACAGCCATACTTTGGGCTAAATGCTTGTGTATAATTGTTTAATTAAATTATTCTCAGTGTCTAGTGTCATGTACGAAATTAGGATTCTTAGCATTGTATTACACAGATTGCATCCTGATGCGATCATCGGCCTTACGCACGCCACAGGCTTGCATACTTCATTCTTGTCTTTGCACTTCAAATGTTTGAGTAAGCACGACTCAGTTTAATGATAATACATAAAATGATAAACTCAGTCTAAATACTGGAGAAGCTACTTGGATAGAAAGTAAAATATTTCAAACCAAAAAGAAAAGAAGTCTTAAAATGTAAGAAAGGGAAATAAGTCAAAGTCTTTTGAAACAAGAAACTTATTTATTAAATTTAGAACCACCCATCTTATTGTCCAAGTGAATCTGGACAGTTTGAAGTTTACAGATACAAACTTCTTAAATCATGCTTTGAAACTGGCTTATTCACAAACTAATCAACTTTTAAATTAACCACACTTTTATAACCAGATTTTGGAGGGAAGATGGTAGACAGGAAGCAACAGCTGTAAAGAATTCTTCCAAAAGTAAACAAGTTTTTTTTAATTGTATTTTTAACTCACTTTTAACCCATTTTTAATCCATACCTGACATTTTACAAAAGCGCATATAGAGAAGCTATCAATTTGTTTTAGCTACATTTTAACAATACTACAATTCAGGATTTTTAAGAATGGGGAAAAGGAGAAAGAGATAGCGTATGCAGTCTGAAGCACAGAGTTCACTCAAACCATTGAACATGGGAGATTATAATGCAAAAAGACAGTCTGCTCCAATAAGTAACTCATCTGCAGTCTCCTTACCAGATAGATCTAATTTATGTGACTCACTGGAATGCAACTTACAAACTGAACTTGAAAGCAAACAGCATATAGAATTAACCACACTTCCTCAGATTTGAATGACATTATGAATTGGAATTAATATTCCAAAACTTCTCACAACTAGATATGATGGGGGTTTCTACAATCCCAATAGTTGTACAGAGCTACTGGGGTATAACCAAGGAATAGAATTTCTTCTTTGGCTTTCAGGGGAAGTAGACATTTGGGTTGTTTTTAGTATTTTGGAGTTTTTAGGGGTAAAATTAGTGGCTTAATACTTGGATATAGTAATCTGCTCTTAAAATCTCAGAATTCTCCCCCCCAAATGACCCAATTCCTTTCCACTTTTGAAACATGGCCACAGTGGTGCCATGCAGAGGCAACTATGCACTTTGGATGACAGAAGCCAGCCAATATCTTTGTCTTTTACAAAGTCTGCATGCAGACATTGCAATAGACAAAGATATCCATTAGTAATAATCTGAAATGTATTTCAACATTTACAAAATGTCAAACGTTTGATTCTTGCTGTGAGTTTCTGAAGCCTTTTTCTGTTATATATGCATGTATGTATGCGTGTCATATTGTTGGAGTTTATTTTGGAACTTGGAAAATGCTAGGCTTAACAAAAACCATTTTTAAGCTGGAAATGATAGCAGCAAAAACCAAGAAAGCTAATCTGCAAAGCAGATGTGAACTAACCCAATGATAAAGGGAGGACGGGGAATAATGCAGCAATACTTCTCCTAAGAAAGAGGTCCAGAGGGATTTTTTTTTGAAGCCTGTTAGCTGGCTTATTACGGTGATTTCAGAAAGGATATAAACTTGAGAAATCATCTGTTAACTTCTGCACCACGTTCTCTCTTCTTCCTTCCTGAAAGCTAATAGCCAATTTCAAAAACTATGGAAATTATAGCTCAGTGCTTATGAGTGGTCCACTGCAAGATAGAATGGACTTCTTAAAGGGAGGGGAGCCCAGGAAGAACGGCAAGCTCTGAAGCCTGTCAATTTTTCTTCCCATTTTATTGGCCTAGGCTCAGGCTGTCATCTAATTGCTTTTTCTATAACTCCCACTTCACCTTCCCAAATTAGTTTATTCTCCTACAAGTTTCATTGCTTGATTATTTTCTTGCATGGGGGAAAACCTGGCACATACTGTTACAGATGTAAAACTCAGCAGGCCAAGCAATCTGTTTTTTGAGGAAATTAGCCTATGCCAAGTACATTTCAATTGAGCCAAGGGTTATGAACCGTCTTCAAGAGTGCTTCATAGCTCAGGCAATGTGGTTTCTATGTAAAAGAAAAAATTGTCCTTAAAGCCAATGCTGCCATGAAGATTGCACACACCTTCTATGCGTGCCAGTGCTCAAAATACAAGATAAACACAGAATATTCTTTAATAGGTGAGGAATTCACAAAATATGTCAGTGACAAGGAACTAAAAATTGTATTCATTGTAAGGCTTGACCCCACAAAAAGCTTCTTATACTGTTGACAGTATCTCATGTAATTTATGGGATATAAAGGAAAGGCTAACCTATGATGATGCCAATTGCAAAAAAGATGGCCAAGGTGTGGTTTAAATTGATGACTTTACATCCAATTGATGCTTTCTGTTGCCATACTAAACCAGCATTTAGTATAACAGGAAAACTCCAAATCACAACATTGGAAATAAAGTCTTTAAAAGCTTTACAGTCAACTGTTTGCCTCAAGGAGAGAGGGAACATACAATACCTGCACTCCCCATCTCTTCCTAAAGGAGAATTTAGATAAATCAAAAGCTTATCCTATTGTAAAGAAATAATTTTTGCTTCATTATAGCTTTGCTAAATAAACTTTGCCTCCTTGATAACAACTATGAACTTTGCATCAACAATTTAAATAAGGAACTCCTGATGCTAAACAAGCACTTACAACTATATAAATTCAAACATGAATTGTAAAGTATATAAAATTTCAACTTTTATTCTAGTGACTCAGTTCTCCAGAGAAAGCTTCAGTTTTAAGCGAAACTTATAAGGAGCAAGACAAACTGATCTTTTTGTGCTAGATTCATAGAAATGATAAGTTTCGTGATTTTTGTGCCCAAGTGCTATTGATTTTTGACCAAATAATAGGAACAAAATCCTAGCAGCTGTCATATTTACAGATTTAATATCTTCACAGATACTGAAGTTTCACCTTTCTGGCCGCTCAATTTTAGTTGAGACAAAAGAGACCAAATGTAAACTCAAACTAAAGATACAATTATGGGCAATATTACTGAAGTCCTACACATCCAAAATGCTTAATCTTGGTTCTGAACAAGCCAACCATTCCGAGAAGCCAAACATAACCAAAAGGAGTAGTCTAGTTCACACAGTGACATCATGCAATTTTAATTGCCTTCCCATGGGATGGAGATATCAGTCTCCAAACGAATTTCATTTCTTTTCCCAAATAGCAGAGTAAAATGGAAATAAGATGATGGACTGGATTATATTACTTCAAATGGGAAGTGCAGCATTCTATACTATTATATTATATTAACATAACCGAAATAGCTCTACAATCCCCCAAGGCATGTTGCAACTTTTGAGCACCCCCCTAATGTTTGCAAATTGAAAGTTGAAAAATTTGACGCACCAGGCTAAAGAGGCACAGCATTAACCAGAAGGTAAAACAAATGCTTCAGACAGTTTTGGAAGGTAATAAGCTTGAGCAGGTGGGACCTGATTCAGATAATGAGAGGATAGATTCTGGCAGGGCACCTAGCCCAAGAATATACCACTGGAGCAAAGGTAAACAGCACACCTGCTAGGCCAGCACCTTGGGTTATATAAGAACAGCCTGGGTCCCTTATAAATCTCTAATTCTGGACCCAAGTTCCTCTCACTCTTGGCCTTTGCCTTGCACTCAGAACCTCAGTTTGATATTCAGACCAGCTAGTATAATTCTCTGGTGCCAAGACCTTGGGCTATCTTGGATAATGCTTGCAGATATTTTAATATTTGTGCTATTCTCTAAGGAGCTCAGAGAAGGCAAATGTATGAATTCTAATAATAAATATAGGAATTGTCGTTATAAAAGGAGTAAGGTCTTTGGCTAAAACCATTAAGTAAGCAAATCGATTCTAGGGTATGTCACTTGCATGCTTTGTTCAGTTTAATAGCACTGCTCACTTGCAGCATTCATTGCAGGTTATGGAAAAGGGAAATAGACAACAATTATATAGTCTGATTTTGACAAATTCTACTAGTCAGCAGGGAGAGGGATGCAACCTTGACCCGTTAGGATGAACATGGCATGAAAGTGCAAAACTAGTCATGCAGATTCATGTTCATCATACAAGACACAAGCAGATCTTGAAGCAGCCCTCAAATGGCTTAGCTCAAATTCCCATCTGTTCGGTTGTTTGTTTAAATACATAAATGCTATCAATTTTTCTTTGCAAGGAGTGGCAGTAGCTATTCTGCCACTGAGACATCTTTGTTTTCAAACACAAATATGGTTGACTTGGTACAGGAATGCAATCTTTTGATTTAGTTACTGAGCATTTTACCTATGTGAAAGACTAGGTTTAGTTTTCAAGTTCTGTATTATGATATATAGCTCAGGTACAGATCTTGTGTTGTTTCTTTACGGCAAGTTTATCTTAAAAAACCTGTTTACCTTAATTTCCTTGCAGATAAAGTTGAGATGTTACTAAGAAGTAACCTATATTGCTAATACCAGCATTAAAAAAAAACTATGGTAGCTGGAATTTTAGGGTTCCTTTTATTATTAAGTTGCATTTCTATTTTTAAAAAGATTTTTAACCCACATTTTTCATAAACAATTCAAGGTGGCAAGCAT